GCATTAATCCAAAAGAGGGTTCGATACCGATAGCAGAGCAAAAATTATTTTACTCAGTACAAAAGATGCAACTTGGTTTCAGTGCATTTCAACTGCATTTCGACGGGTGAGAATCGAAAATGGTTATGCACCCGTCGAGGTGTAGTTGAAATGCACTGAAACCAAGTTGCATCTTTGTAGTGAGCAAAATGGTTTTGTCTATATGATAAAATTATAATAAAAATAATAATTATATATATATATATATATATATATATATATATATATATATATATATATATATATATATATAGAGAGAGAGAGAGAGAGTGAGAGAGAGAGAGATGGGTGTTTTAAAAAACGGCGACTCCTGCTGTTATTAAGCATTACATTTCAAGGAAATTGAATTTTTTCAAATTTTTTCTTTTTTTTAAAAGCGTTTCACCCCAAGCAATGCGGGAAGCCGCTAGCATGCAAGGGGTTACAGGGAGTTGGAGCTAGAGTAAATAGGAGTGATAGAGGAAAGGATGAAGAGAAAGATAGGGGATAGATCAAGGTATCTCGAGACGTCGATTGACATTACATTTGAATAGTTGGAGATTATAGCTATCAGGGAAACAGGAAAAGGGGAGGGAGTTCCACAGGCGAGAGGTGCGAGATATGAAGCTATTGGAGTAGAAGAGACGGCTACATTTAACAGTTTCGACAGTGAAAGGGTGAGACTGAGATGCCAGCCTAAAATTTAGCGCTTAAATTCATGAAGTCTGAGAACCAGCGAAAGCAGCTCATTGGAGCAGTTACCGTGAAAGTATTTGTAAAAAAAGACAGAGGGTGGCGACGGCATTTCTGTGAGAGTGCGACTGCAGACGAGATGCCAGATCAGGGCCAATTACATTGCATATCCGTCTCTGGATCTTATCAAGAACCTTGAGACAAACAGAAGGGACACCGGACCATATATGGCAGCAATACTCATCTCCGAGCCGCTGGCGTATTTCGTATAGAGAAAAACTTTAAAATTCACATTCCTGACGATGTCAGTTATCTGACTGATGTCAAATCAGTCGGATGTCAATGCCGGTTTGAAGTAATCGGACGTCTAGCCACTGTGAGGAGCTGTGATACATTGAAACAATCTGTCTGTCTGTGGATGAATATATATATATATATATAGATAGATAGATAGATAGATAGATAGATAGATAGATAGATAAGGTTAATGGTCAGTATTGAATCAGACCAGGAAACAGTAGTATTAGGTTGTCCTAAAAGTTCGTAAACAATTGCGAAAAATTGAATTTTTATGCAACACAATCCAGCACAATTGAGACAAGCGATGGGTTCAGAAATGGCAAGAGACACCGTCGGTTCCAAAACAAGATCGATTCGGCAAGAAAGTCATGTTGTGCGTTTGGTGGAACTTTGAAGGAATCGTGCATTTTCAGTCGGTTCCGAATGGTCGTGCCATCAATGCCGAACTTTACTGTCAGCAACTGGAGTGGGTCTACGAAAAGTTGAAGCAAAAGTACCCGGTTCTGATCAACCGAAAGCGCGCTTTGATGCAGCAGGACAATGCCAAGCCACACACCGCCTGGAAGACCAAAGACAAGTTTGAAGAGCTGGACGGCGTTGAGGTTCTGCCACATCCAGCCTACAGTCCTTACTGTGCTCCATCAAATTACGGCCTTTTCCGCTCAATGCAACACTTTCTGAAGGGCCGACGATTCGACTCGTTTGATGAAGTCGAGGAAGCGTGTCAAGAATTCTTTGATTCGAAGTCGGCTGAATGGTAATTTCACCAGATCCGAAAGCTTGCAGATCGATGGCAGAAAGTCTTGGAAAATGATGGTCTTTATTTTGAGGAATAATTTTTGTTGTTTTTGTTATTACTTGGTGAGTGAAATTTCAATTTTTTGCAAGTGTTTACGAAGTTTTGGGACAACCTAATATTAAAAAGTGTTCAATACACGCGTGAAAAAAATTAAAAAAAATAAAAGTAAAAATAACATGTAGAGTCTTTAACTTTAAAAATCAGGAGGTTAGTTGAATCCACTTACCTTGGTTTCAACCTTACGGAATCCTCAGGCGATTTTTATCAAATGACCTCTTAACGCTTTATTTTTTAAAAAAAAAAATGATGAACGCTATATTATTTTTAAAATATGAATAAACAAACAAACGTACGACATTGGGTGTGATAGAAAGGAAGGAGGAGAATGTGAAAAAGGAAGGAGAACAACAACAACAAGAAGAAAAAAGGGGAAGAAAAGAAAAGCAAGAGTATTATAAATGTATCAGTGGCAGTGGGGGTAATTGATATGTATATTTTTTTATCCAGCCTTATATATGCTTAAGAGGAATTTTTATTATTATGCATGCAAAGACTGAAGATTTCAGTTTTCAGTTTCAAAAGGTTCTTTGGATCCGGAAATGTCATTATTGTTAATTTTTCCCTGTTGGCAGAGGTTGCAAATATTTTTGGGACTGTTATAAGGCTTCGCCTTATTTTTTTTAATTTTCCATCTTACTATGAGATCACTACTGTTTTTTCTTTTAAATTTAACGCCGTGCGTTTGTTTATCTATTTATTTTTCAAAAATAATATAGCTTTCATTAGTTTTTTTTTAAAATAAAGCGTTGAAGGTGAATTGATAGAAATTGCCTGAGGATACCGTAAGTTTGAAACCAAGGTAGCTGATTCAACTGATCTCCTGATTTTTTAAAGTATATATATATATATATATATATATATATATATATATATATATATATATATATGAGGAATGATGGTGTAATGTGTAGAGGTTCGGACTGAGCCAGTCGAATCCATTACATTGACTTACGTGCTAATACCCTTGAGAAAGTTATGAATCCTCTTCTTCTCCCTGCAGCTATGGGTTAAATAGCAGGACAGACTGGGTTCTATAGCCTCGGATGGAAACTGGTCTAGGAGAAGGACAACTATGAATTCAAAACCTGCGGAAGGTTGTTTGTGAACCTTGTGGCACGTAGTGCACCAGGTCTCTGTATTTAGACCTTCAAAAAGTGTAGTTGGTTCTGCACAAAGAGTTCACCATTATAATCTGGCTGAGTTGCTGTCCATCATACGTATATATATATATATATATATATATATATATATATATATATATATTATTTCAGCTGTTAATATACGTCATAACACCCCTCGAGTTCTTAGACGAGGAACGGGTAGAATGGAGATCAACGTGTTTTAGTGGACTCAGTAGTTTTCAATCTGCTTTTCTGAATTGTCTTCAAGAAGCGAGAGCAAGATCTAAAAGGTCAGGCAATCTAACAGTAATCTCATCATACAATCCTTACTCTTGCTCCATATGCGGTCTCCTTTGTAAATCACAAGCGAGTCTTAAGTGCCACTTAAGATTATCGCACAAAATTTCATAACTGAATTAATTGATTAAGTTGCCAGATCCTGATACATCGAAAGCGACAGGAGAGTTCATTATTATATATATATATATATATATATATATATATATATATATATATATATATATATATATATATACAAGTATAGGATTGGTGTAGACGGAATAAAATTTCAATAACCAAAAACACTATTCTTAAAAATGTGTGTTCTATACAGAAAAGAGCAAATATTATTTATTCAAAAATTATAACATAAACATGTTATTACATCACTAAGAAATTAGGCATTTCGTTTCAACACATCTGGTGTCTTCTCAACTTTATTCCCACCAGATGTGTTGAAAAAAAATAAATCTATTTTGTTAAATGATGTTATATTATATATATATATATATATATATATATATATATATATATATATATATATATCAATGGACATGGATAGGGCAGCACCGAGTAGTAAAAGTCTGATTCATGCTTGAACGCAATCTTCAAGTCATCAAGACTGTGTTTAAGCATGAAACAGACTCTCGCCACACGATGTTGACTTCAGTGCCCACTCTTATTTTTACACACGCTCTATCCAAGATATGGAGCACTTTTAACCTTAAATATAGAGTCTCTTAAAAGTATATTTTACCATACATATACATATATGTACGTGTGTGTGTTGTGTTTATGTGTGTGTTTTACTACCCCCAGAAATCTGCCAAATCATAAATGAATGTATAATGACATACATTTTTATGTTGTCTTTTCCACATGGCTTCATTTTTTTTTTTTTTTTGTATACTTATACTTGTCTATTTACTTTTTTCTTTTTGTTTACGCTTTGATGCTCTTGAGAAATTCATACCTTTCTTTCAGTTTCATTTAATATAACCACACCCTTATGTAGGCCAGACATCAGGGACGGTGAAGTGACCTTTTTTTTCTTTTTTTTTCTTTTTTTTTGAAAGAATCTTGTGATATGCCAAGCAAAGAGATCGATTTCTTTCTCTTGTGTCATTTCATTCCAATGGCTGAAACGACAGACACCGACGACTACATTTGTGAATGAAGTTTGACATGAATGAAACAGTGGGAATAAAATACTTAAAAAGAAAAAAAATTCACACTCAAATATAGAGAAAGAATCATCTCCCTCCTTACACGATCACTTATTCACTTCCCCATTCTCTCTTAATCTCACTCTCTCTATGTGTTTCGCTTTCGCCCTCAATTTCTGTCACTTTCACCCCTTTTCTCTCTCTCTCTCTCTCTCTCTCTCTGTCTGTCTGTCTGTCTCTTTATTTTACTAATGTTCACCCAATACAATGCCCAAGAGCTGCCCAAGGTAGAGTTTACTGAGTTGTGTTGCATGAGCGCAAAAAAGGACAAGAAGAAGTTCTTGGGGCTATGCAGGAAATAAAAATGGCAAACTCTAGACTTGAAGTGGTCAAGGTTTAATTTGTGAATAACATTTCAGCGCTCAGCCAGAGCCTTTAGAAGTATAAGTGCGGAAGTAGATTTCAGGAGGAACCGGAAATGCAATCCTAAACAGGAAACAAGGGATAAACCTCTACTCCTGTCCAAAGATCGAGGGGTGTGTGTCATTCGTTCTCTTTTTCTTTATGCTTCTTCGCATTTTTCTCTTCAAGTCACTCCGTTTGCCTTTCTCTGAGTCTTTTTCAATTTCTCTTATTTTTTTCTCTTTCAATTTTCCTTCGTTTATTCTTTTATTATTTTTGTTTTTTCCTTTTTCACATTTTTTTTCTCTTTTTCTTTTCTTCTATTTTTCTCTTTTTTCTCTCTTTTCCTCCATTTTTCTCTGTTTTTTTCCTGCACTGTTGGCACTACCAATGTAGAAATCAGAACATTTGCCATGGAAATAGCGATTGGGTAGCGAGAGGTTGCAACATTTTGTCTATGGGAAAGTGGCGGAGAGATTGAAAATAATTAATCACCCAAAAGGCTGCGTAAATGTTTATGAACTCTATCAAGATTTTCAACCAAACGTAGTAGGGAGTAATTTCCAATTGCGCATTTTTCATTGCCCTGTACTTTCAGGACTGCATCAACTTACTAATAACCTGGGAAAAGCTAAAAATTTGTATCCTCCCCTATCTATGGCTTAAATATTACAACGTATCTTGAAACATCATTGTTATTCTCCAAAAATTGTTAATGCCAAATTTACTGGCAAGATTTAAATAAAATATTCTTACAATCCAAAAATAAGGATAAGTAATCAACAAATGGTTGATAAACCGTAAAAAACAATCAACCAATCAATCAAAATCCTCCAGGGCGTTGGCGATCGTGTGTCGTCAAAGATTTTGTCTTTAGTATCTGTGAATTGCAATGCGTTCTCGGGAACAATTAAGGAATCGAGTCGCGTTGTCTTTTTCATGATTCACACACGATATGTGCCTCCATTGTCTATCGTTTAAGGTTACAGAGCCCACACTCCTTTCATGTTCGGGAACATGTCCGATCATGGCCCTCCACAGATTCCTTTGATCTATTATCTGGAAATTGTCATGATTTCTTAGCAAAGATAATAGAATGAGTTCTCGTTACCTTCTTTTTGATTGATTGATTCGTTTTTTACGGTTTATCAACCATTGCAGCTTATTTAAAGCCTGCAAATATTTTTAGATTGGAAGAATTTTTTCCAGGTAATATGATTTAGTGATACAATTCTTACATGATCAAGGATGAAGCAAATAAAAGGAGCGTTCATATTTTTCGCAATGTCATTTGCGCGTAATTGAACCCAACTGAAATTGGAACTCGGTTATCCGCTTAACAATTCCAAGTCATTATCCATTACACCAGCCACACACCCAAGCATACAGCAACAGGTATTCCCCAGCGGCTATCCATCTCAGTATTGAACTGGTTCGACGTTGCTTAACTTTGGTGATCATATGGAAACCGATGTTTTAATGAAATATGGCGGTAAGTGCACTGGTCGCTAAGGTTACAAAGTTTAGTCTGCATTTATATACAAGACCTTTCAGAAGATAGGCGATCATGGCTCTCCACAATTTCCCTTTCTTTATTATCTGTGAATTGTCATCCTTTTACATTCTTTCTTTCTCTCTTTTCTTCTTTTTTCCCGTTCGTTTTTTTTAATCTTTAACCGTTAGCTATTCCTTTTCTCTTGATGAATTTCCCGTTTATTGATCTATTAAAATATATCTATCGTTTTCTTCTTTCAAACCAATCTTCGCCTGCCGTCATCACTTCTTCACCTCCGCCTCCTCCTCCTCACCCTCCTCCTCCTCTTTCTTCTTCTTCTTCTAATAAATGTATTTACGTCAGTTAACAATCTCTCTATATATATGTATATATGTTTGTGTGCTTACGTACCTCAATATACACAGGCATATATATATATATATATATATATGTGTGTGTGTGTGTGTGTGTGTGTGTGTGTGTGTGTGTGTGTGTGGTCTCTAAGAAAATAAAAGAATCATGACGCAATTCACTCCTCAGAAATTTGGAAAACGCTATGCCGTACTGCTTGGCATTCACGCTGGAAGCTCCAATACGAACATTTCAGTGTGTTCATGTGTCAATTTGAGGACAGTGCAGAGGATTCGGAATGAGTTGGATGAGGCTAATGGTGATTACGAATGTGTTTGGCGAGATCAACACAGAGTTCTGTATCAATTGCCTTGAGTAGGTAGTGTTGCCCTAGTCAAGAGGGTGGCTGCTGGAAGACCCTATGTCTGGCAACAGGATTCTGCACCATCCCATACATGCAAAAAAACACAATCTTGCCTATTAAGCGGTTTCTGCGACTACATCACCCCTTACACCTGGTCACCTAACTCCCCAGACTTCACCGCCCTTGATTATTATGTGTGGGGTCAGTTGAACGAGAGACATACAAAACTGCTTGGAACACCAAAAATAAAATGAAGGCAAATATTATGGCAGCATTCAGCAACTTAAACAAGGAGACCGTCCAGAAGAGTTGCAGGAGATTGCGAAGTCATCTGGTTGAAGCCAATGGTGATTTTATTGAATAAATGTACTCTTTCAAAATAATTTTCTGCCATTTTGGTTAATATATCTGTTAAAAGGAGATATCAGTGTTATTTTTTCGTCGTTTCGTCGACAATTTGTCCATCGCACATAACGTATACGTATATATATATATATATATATATATATATATATATATTCATTATATATATATTGTTGTGGAAATTTTCACAGTGGAGGCTTGTATTTCTAATAAGTCGTCCTAAATTAGGTCCAACGTACAAAACGTTAGGAACTTGGAAAATAAGAGTCAATGGCGCAATGAATATCTAGTTGTGATGGTTGGTACTTCCAATGTCCGAATCTCGACTGACGCGCTCAACACCATTCTGCCAGACTTGCCACTGCTAATCCTACTTATTATCTATGGGAGTCCATTACCAAAGAATAGGTACTATGATAACATATATATATATATATATATATATATATATATATATATATATATATTAGATAGATAGATAGATAGATAGATATTCATTCCCAGGAGGATAAAATCCAGGTAGAACTCTATGTCCATGACAGAGTAAGAATATAATATAAAAGACTCAAACACTAATATTCCATGGTTATAATTTATTACATTGGAATCGTAATCACGATCCAATTCATCAGACCTACAAATTCAAAAAGAAATCGTAAAATATAATTCCGGGTATAAAAAGCACAATTTTATTGAAATTGTATGTGTTGGAGTGGGAAACAAGTGTGAGAGGGAATTCGAAATCGGCTCTACGATTCCCCAGTCCGAGCCGCTAGGCGTTTTTGGTCTGTCTAGGTAATCTGAGGTTGAGCACTTTACTTTACTGAATGGGTAGGTATCTCACTTTTGTCCTTTCTTTCTTTCTTTCTTTCTTTCTTTCTTTCTTTCTTTCTTTGTTCAGGTACTAGGTCGTTTGGCCTAAACAAGGAGCAAGGGATAAACCTGTATTCCTGTTTAAAGGATATACTAATGCCTACATTGGGGCTGGGAGAGTAAAGGGAACACATATATTTCATCGATCTTTCCAAACATCGTCTTTAATACCATTTCAAATGATAGATTACTTGGGAATTTGCAACCAAAAATGCTGCTGCTACAATATGTTCGCTGATAAGAAACAACTTTGTTAACTATGCAATCATTGCACCCTACAAAAGGAATAAGATTACTATAATCTTTGTTTAAGTATTTTATACATCTGTTTAAGTCTGGATAATTCGGTGTTAATGAATTTTCCATAACGACGCCAACAATTTTCGTAGTCAAGTGCGAATGGTGGTTTAAAAGTTATTGAATGAATCTTGCCTGCTGCGTTTCAGCAGGATACCACTGGTATTTGATGACAAGGAACGAATAAAAACAGTCAAACTTTATGCTATTTCGACTTTGCCAGACGCCTACATATAATTCAGTGGTTCGCATTATTAAATTACACAATAAAAATATATCAGTATCCATATATATATATATATATATATATATATATATATATATATATATACAGTGACACGTTTAAGTATTGGATACATGTTATTTTCTGTTATAACTCTAGTTTATGTTCGCCATTTTGCCTGATATTTGGTAAGTAATGTCTCGTAAAGTTGTTTTAGTTGTATGTGGAAGGAAAATTAAAAACTCATGGTTGAATCCATTTTTTTTTTATCACTTAATTTGCATCTAGATACATTGTATTTATTTTCAATTTTTCTAATTGGATTGTTCACCTATATTGAAGATAGTCCATTATTTTACATAATTACGTTACAATAAACTTTGTATTTTATATGAATACTATCTTATGAAAATTGAGATATAGTTCAGTGTAGGCCTCCGTATCATAGACTGGATGGGAGGCATATATATATATATATATATATATATATATATATATATATATATATATATATATATATATATATATATTTTTTTGAAAATTATAACATAAATATGTTATAAAATCACTAAAAAATAGCCATTTTGTTTCAACACTCTCAGTGTCTTATCAATGATGTTGAATGTAAAATAAATGGTTTTAAAAGTTTCAAATTAATTAACAATCCTTCACAAGGGGAAAACGTTGTTACAAAAAGCTAGATGGACCAATCAAAATACAAGTTTATAGAAAATTCAAAAAGCTTGACAACGAAATCATGTTACAATAGCTATTCAGATGTTTAAAATATGGGTAGTATTAAAAAAGAATTTATTCTAACCAATAATTACTAAATTATATGATAAAATTTAATATTAAAATTAAAAAAAACTGCTAATTTCAAGATCAAAATTTAATCGCTATTAAGTTTACAACTATAAAATTACTGAGGAGAAAAGAAGAAATATATATGTTATTCAATTTATTTCTTCATTGAAGTTATTTAGATAATTTTATATCCGGTCTTTTGACAATGTATCCATTTTAATCCTAAGAGTGCGTGAATGGGGTCCTAAACTCACGCGTAAAACAAACGCAATCAGATTATAATATATAAGCGCCCAGACATATTTATATATATATATACACACACAAAAAGAGACGAGACAGAGAACATCACCACGGTCGTATAAAAAAAAAAAGGAAGTGGGAGGGAAAGGGAAACCAACACACACGTACACACATGCACTTTCCATACACATAGACAATTATAAATACATGCACACACATCCACAGACATTGACCATACAAAACATATATACAAATATATATATATATATATATATATATATATATATATATATATATATATTATATATTCTCGGGGTTTTTTTTTTTTTTTTCTTAAGGCGTTGATCGATTTATTTCGCCCTGTTCGGATGTTTTTAGTTCTTTCTTTTTTTTTATTTCCTCGGCTACCGATTTGTTTTGACTTTTTTACCAAACGAGTATTACTGTTAGTATATATATGTTGAACATATATATATATAAACATAGAGACGGAGACAGTTTGTTTCATGCTAGATGCAATCGTCAGGCCCTGACGATTGCATCTATATGAAACAAACAGACTGTCGCCTCTAAAAATTGACTTCTATGTTCAAAATTTATATTTATACATATTATCTCTGATATCGATATAAATTTATCCCATAAATATAGCACACCTTAAGACCATATTTTTTTTATATATATATATATATAATTCTCAAAAATGTTTGTGTATGTGTGTGTGTGTGATCGGATGTTTTTAACAGTTTCTCAAATTTCATCCGATTTCGATGAAGTTATTTTTGTTTGATAGATAGTTCATCGGTACCGGTTTTGAGTCCAAATTGGCTGGAAAAATTACAACCTTGAAGGTGAAAAGTCGAAAAAATTATTTTTTTACACTTTGCACAAAAATCAAAGGCAAAAATTTAATATCTGTAAAAAAACAGCGTACAATCAATTTAAAGTGTTGAAATCTAACGCAAAAAATTATTAAAATTATAAAAAAAAATGTATTATAAATAAAAATTATCGTATATTATTATTATGAAGGTCCATGGAAGAGGTCCTTTCCTTGTAAGATTAGGAACGAAAAAAAAGGCCCTTTTCAGGGCCACCCACCATTCAAATTGTTACCCCAAACCCCGCATTTGGGGATGTGTCTCATTTGCACCCAATTGTTGTTACTTATATTAATTTTCGGGTGGGCTGACTTTTAAACTTAAACTGCACTAATTGAAAGGCAAAATCCCATATAAAAATATCCCAAAAAAAACACCCAGTCGAATATATATATATATATATATATATATATATATATATATATATATATTTATAGTTTATTACAAACTTAGGTAATCCGTATGGGTAGACCTGAGGAGGATGATATCCAGAGAGCTCAATGTAAAATTCAGAGCAGATATGTTTGAATAAAAGACAGACCACGTTAAGATTCCATGTAATAAGCTATTTCACCATAACCCCTTTAACAGGGTTCTGGATCATCAGACTTTTACTTCCAAAAGCTGAAATGAAATATATATATATATATATATATATATATATATATATATATATATATAACCTATTTATATTTTTTTATATCTTTAATTTTTTAAATATTTCATTCTTCATATGATTTAAATTAATCTCGTAATGTTAATATTCGGTTTTTTTTTTTAAAAAACTTTTTTTTTCAAGCAAATATCTTCCACCCTCTCTGACCCATATTTTATGCTTTCCGTCTGTCTGAAGCACTGAAATAGATAAATTTTCTATTAGTTTTTCGACTGTATTTTATTTTCTTTTTTAGCATCCACAGTTTAATTTCTATTTCTGACACGAACTCGGTCCACACCGGGATTGATAAGACAGACGACCTATATCTTCGTTTGCTGAAATAGTTTATTCCCCATATTAGGTAATTTTGGATTTTATTGTTTATTAATTATTTGCTCTGTAATTATAAATACAAATAGGTTTCTTGTGGATCAATTTTAATATTTCATATTACTAGGATCCAACTTGGATTATATACTAACGGATCTGTTACCTTCATTTTATATATATATATATATATATATATATATATATATATATATATATATAATTATTTATTTAAAAATATGATTCCAAATCGCGACATAAGAGAGTCCCATGTTTTCAAAGCAAGAGCCGAAAAACTTCAATATAATTATTTAAATTAAATTGAGTTAAAATAAGCTCTGTTCCATCTTCAAGCGAAATTTTTTTTGGAATAACGTGTTTCTGAAATTTACGTGTATATATATATATATATATATATATATATATATATATATATATATATATATATATATATAACCAAGTATAGGATTGGTGTATACGGAATAAATTCCAATAACCAACAAATACTATTCTTAAAAAGAGTGCTCAATACAGAGTAGAAATATAATTATTTATTCAAAATTATAACATAAATATGTTAAAATCAATCAAAAATAGCCATTTTGTTTCAACATTTCTGATGTCTTATCAATTTTGATATATTGTTTGGTATATAAGAAAAAATGTTGTATTAAATTAAATAATTTTTTATTTGTTTTAAATTTTATTTATATAATTTTCGAATAAATATTCTTATATATATATATATATATATATATATATTTTATTTAAAATATGATTCCAACGATATAACATGTTTCAAAAATGTTTTTGAAACATGAGAAACTGTTTATGTAACGATAAATTATATTTTAAATAAATAAAAATTTTTATTATTTTAAAAAGTTTGTTTCGAGCACTATTTTTTAAAATAATAAAAAAAAAAGTACTAAAGAAATTTGGATTATTTACCTAACGAGTTCTTTCCTATTTTCTCTATATTTTTTACACACACACACACACATTTTACATATATATATATATATATATATATATATATATATATATATATATATATATATTATTTATTTTTATATCAACTCTTATTTTATTGAATTTGAATATGCATTTTGACAAGAATTCCTGTTTTTTTTTGTTTTTTTGTTTTTTTTAATACGAATTAACTCTCGCAGACTGCGCATTCGAAAGTCTTATTAAAGCAAATACTGCTCTCCCGTAGAGTCTGGACATTGATCCCCCTTTGTAGGAAAAACTACAGTCTGATCCGCCTGGCTATACATCGCTCGGCCGCAGAGAACGCTACAGCCAGGAAAAATTCAGTTGCCCTTTTTGAAAAATACACATCCCCCACTTCAGGTCCCCTCGAAGGGCCAAACCATATATACACGAGTATAGTGTTACTCCTTTATGATCAGCTTTTTTTACGCATACGATAGCCGGTCATATTATACACAGGTACTTTTTGGTGAACATTTGCACTGTACCCAGTTTAATTTTTTCTGGAGTGATTAAAATTAATGCAAACAAAAAAAATCAGTAGTCGCATTTTATACACAAGTCGTTTTATACACAAGTATAAACGGGATCTGCTCGATTTCGTAGACAAAACAAAT